GTATGTATGTATGTATGTATGTATGTATGTATGTATGTATGTATGTATGTATGTATGTATGTATGTATGTATGTATATGTTGTGACCTCATGACAACTATTGAAGTTATTTCCATGCAGAGACTGTTGATTGTTGGACTGGTTAAAACTAAATGTTGATTTGATTTAGATTGTTCCTCTGTTGGCTCTTTGTGTTCTCTAAATCTATTCATCCATACACTTCAAACTTGTCCTACAGAGAACCTGTTACTGCTTCAGCAGTGACTCCCTGATTCCAGTTGGAGGTCAAGATTTATACGATCTATGACCAGATTTGGTTTATCGAACGTTAACTGTTTTTTACCATCTGTTCTGCAGGGGGAGCTGTTGAGTCCATGTCGCTGTGATGGCTCAGTGCGCTGCACACATCAGCCTTGCCTCATCCGCTGGATAAGTGAGAGGGGCTCCTGGAGCTGTGAGCTCTGCTACTTCAAGTACCAGGTCCTGGCCATCAGCACCAAGAACCCTCTGCAGGTGAAACACACTTTCTGCTTTACCTGTTCTAAAATGTGGATTTCACAGAACAAAGCTTATCTCCTGCTCCAGAAACACATATTTTTGTTCTTGAGGTAGGATGGAGATGTCCACGACAAAAAGGGTTTGAGACCAAAGACTGTAAATGTAGGTAGACCAGGCCAGAGCCTGGAACAGGATCAGCTTCTCTGTCAGCTGGTTTCTGTATGAGTTTAGGTCCTGCCAGTGTTAATACCCCATGCCCCCATGACTGGGGCAAAATGTTCTGGATTCTCCCTCAGATATGTCATTCACAAACTAACTGTTATGTATGCGGGGCACCAAGTGTAAAATAAAACATTAAAAAATGTCACTAACACATTTTCATTATGTAGCTCACTTTCTGAGTGTAAAATCTTTTCATTAATATTTTGCAAGCTTTTGCTAAATGTTCAAAGGTTAAAAATATATATGTCAAGATAAAATCCTAAATCTAAATGCATAAATCTAAATGTAAAAGTTAAAGTTTGAAGTTTACATTTAATTATTTCTGAATGGAAAGCAGCCGTTACTGTTGGTGCTCAGCTCAGTTTAGGAAGTCAACATTTTGAATTTAAATTTTAAGTGCCTTCTTCAGCAATGTTAGCAGCGTTGGCAGTGTCATTGCCCAGTCTGTTCTGGACGCAGGATCTTAACTGTCAGCTCATATGCACATGCGCTAAAAGAAATACTTCTAAATCACCATTATGAGCTCAGTTTAGGAAAAAATACAGAAAAATATTTGTTTTCATCCTTTATTGTAAAGATATACTAAATTATATCCTGTAAACTGTATTACAAATGCAGTATAACATACATCATAAATATATAAATCAAATACATTTTTATGAAACAACCATATTTTATATTAATTAAAAAATTACTTGCGGGTGAATTATTGGTAAACGTACATATTTTCCTGGCAATGTTATAATTCCCTTAATGAATAGTAACTGTGATACTTTTCTTTGAAACAGTTCAGTAGAAAATTGTTTATTGGACTGACATATTGATCTGATACTGATACCTTGTGCAAACACACCTAATGTGTCTGGTAAATCTAAAAAACCTAGTGTATTTCAAATCATGGTTTCTTAGACTTCAAAAGCAATTTTTTATTCATATTAAATTCAGAAGTATTTTGATGTAGCATCCTTATTTACAATATAACTGAGCTAATACAGCAGAATAATCAGAGGATATAATCCCACAAAATATGTGATAATGGTGTTTTAAACATTAAAAAATGAAGTCAAACAATAAAACCAACAGAATAAACTATGGTTTAATGATCAAGAACTGCTGTAAATATAAAAACTTGTCTTAAATTACATTACATGAACATATTTACATGAAAACTCTGCACATGGAAAAACATGAAAACACTGAACACGGAAAAAACACAGACTGAGTATGTGCTGCTGCTCGTACATACTATATTACCCAGGCAGAAGAAAAAGTAGTTCCCCTCAAACTATTGTTTTACACACAATTTCAATAGATTCATTATATTCCACTGTGTTCCTGTTTATGATATATATTACCTGAAACAACTGAAGCACAACCCCAAGCCCAATGAAGTTAGGACGTTTTAGTACAGTAATAATAAAGTAATTTATGTATTCAGTTGAAGCTGCCAGTCTAGAACCCTAATTCTTTTACTTTGAAGTCACACTGTTGAAATACATTCAGAATGTGTCTTCATTGTCTTGCTGAAATTGGCAGGATGCTCCTGAAAAAAATGTGGCTTGGATGGGAGCATGTTGCTCCAAAACCTGTATGTAACCTTCAGCATAGTGCCACGTGCACTAATACACTAAATACAACCCCTGGCAAAATGTATGGAATCACCAGTCTTGGATGAGCACTCATTCAGACATTTCATTCTGTAAAACAAACTCAGATCAAAAACATGATACAATAATAAGGTCATTCCAAAGTGCAACTTGTTGGCTTTCAGGAACACTCAAAGAAATGAAGAGAAAACATTGTGGAAGTCAGTGAATGTTACTTTTATTGACCAAGCACAGGGATAAAAATATGGAATCACTCAATTCTGAGGAAAAAAGTATGGAATCACTCAAATTGGAGGTAGAAAATAAGGACACACCCAGTCAATTTCCTTTCCTTAAATGGACACCTGCCACAGATTAGATCTGCTCATTAGTCTGCAGTTAAAAATACCTGCAGTCATGACACCTTGGAGGGCTGCTGGACAAAGTGGAGTGGCAAGAACCATGGCTCCAACAAGAGAAATGTCTCTTGAAACAAAAGAGAGGATTGTGAAACTTCTTGAAGAAGGTAACTCTTCAAGCATGGTTGCAAAAGATGTGGGCTGTTCACAGTCAGCTGTATTCAAGATATGGACCAAATACAAACAGCATGGAATGGTTGTTAAAGCCAAGTGTACTGGTAGACCAAGAAAGACATCAAAGCATCAAGACAAACAACTTAAGGCCATTTGTCTTGAAAACTGAAAAAATACAACTAAACAGATGAAGCATAAATAGGAGGAAGCTGGAGCCAATGTATGTGACCGAACCRTAAGAAATTGCCCAAAGGAAATGGGATTTCAATACAGGAAAGCTAAAAGAAAACCATCATTGACACCTAAACAATAAAGAACAAGACTGCAATGGGCTAAGGAGAGGCAATCATGGACTGTGGAAGACTGGATGAAGTTATCTTCAGTGATGAGTCAAGAATCTGCGTTGGACAAGGTGATGATGCTGGAACTTTTGTTTGGTGCCATTCCAGTGAGATTTATGAAGAGGACTGACAGAATCAGTCAAATGTTTATTTGACTCCTATAGACTGGTATACTCTGCAGCATCAGAAAACCAACATTTACATTGTTTTTGACCTGTTTGGAACATGGCCTTGTTTGCGTAACTGTTAGCCATTAACCTAGCCTTGAAAAAAAGAGACTGTTGTCTTTTCCTCTATACCCAGAGCTTTATGAGCATCACTTTAAAAATAATCAGACTGTTCAATTATGTCAAATCTGTGAAATGTGGTCAAAAAGAATCATAGGTTACATGTTATCAAATACAAAATTGTTCACATAAAACTCACACAGACATATTTGTATTTCTAACCTTATTAGGACCATATATTGACTTTCATTAATTTCTATAGTCTATGCTACGTTCACACCCAATGCGTTTTGAGCATCTAAAATGTGCCCAACGCCTCAAGATGGACGCGCGTTCAGACCGGGACACAGACTAGACGGAAGAGGTAGGAGCATCTTAGTTTTTTTTGCTCCTATCTGTCTTCGGCGGATGAAATAAAGATAAAATAAAGAAAACGGCTTTGCTTTATTTACTAAAGAGCAAGCGAACGTTGCGCACAGCAGATAACTAATTCACCAGATAATTTAGAGGCGGTTTGTTCGGTGAGTTTCACCACTCCAGGAGCTGCGAGCTGACAAAATTTTTTTGTCCCGAGCCCAGTTTAACACTGCAGTCAGTTTAACAAGCTGCTGACCCACATCGGTGCTGATATGTCCAGCCAGAACACAAACTACAGCAGGTCAATTTCAGCTAAAGAGCTCCTGTCCGTCTGTTTGTGGGCAACATTCAGTCAAGTCAAGTCAACTTTATTTATATAGCACATTTAAAAACAACTGCCTTTGGCCAAAGTGCTTCACATATTGCAACTAAAAACAAAGCATTACTGACAGAACACAAATAATGATAAAACCATAAAACAGACCAAACAAATATGGAAAATAACTCTCATACTACATTAAAAGCAGGATTCAGGAAACTGTCACGTGTGTGGCAGCCCCCCAGTTCTTGACGAAGTTCTGCGCAGCCTCGACGGGTGATTTTAAGCCTTTTTACTTTCCTCTGGTGCTCCTTGATCACCAAATCATCACGATCACCAAGATCACTGTCAAAACTAAAACAAACATGCATACAAACATTAAAATAAGAACATGGGCTCATAAACAAGTGAAATAAACAAAACATACTTTGCTGCTTTCACCAGGGGAAGGCAAAGCACAAGATATTTGTTTCTTTAACAGCAAACATTTCAAGACCTGCTGTCAGTTGCTTTCCAATTAGAACTAATTACTGCCAGCTTTTATAAGGCCAGCCTATCTTTGCTATGGCATCCCATGAGGTACAAAAAATAAATAAACACACTAATATACAAATATTATTGAATCAAAACAAAAACATTTATGAACAACCAACACAGTGTACATGAAAAACAGACAAACACCTGTAAACAATCCACACGACGAAAATAGATTTTTAAAATAATTTACTGTCAGAACGTGGAAAAATGAGTCCCTCTGGTTCCTGTGGCGCGTCGAGCAGCAAAGGTTGAGATTTTTGAACTCGGGCGTGGACTGCTTTCGCCTTACCACATGCWCGGAAAATGCTCAACCGCACCTTCTGCTTCCTTGCTCACCGTGCTAAATGGACTTGACGCGCCGCAAGWCCCCTGGAGGTGTGTCCACCATAGACTTTGCCTGTAAACCGGCCACTCCTGCAGCTCAAAACATGTTTGATGTGAACGTAGCATTAACCTTAACCCAATAACCCCAACTACATATATCCCGCCCCCTCCCAGTTCACACCAGAGTCTAACCTCTGACCCCAGAATGGTCTTCCACCATATATCACCTCCACACCCTATCTTTGGTCCTCAGAAGGACCACAGGTCCTGACAAGGTAGATGTTTAGACCAGAGAGGGTCCTTAAAAGGTAACAGAAACCAGGTACACACCCCCCCCCCACACACACACACACACACAATGGGTAATGTTTTCAGTGCTTTTGTTAGCGTGGCTAACAGTAGGAAGAGACTCAGGTGATGACACAATGATGGGAATCTGATCCGTGAACTGATATTTTTTTTACCAGCAACAAAAGATTGAAAGAGCTGCTTCTCTAAAAAGAAAGAAAGCTGCCAGCAGACCACGCCGTCTTTGCTGCAACAAATCACAGAGTGTCTGTGGTGCGAGA